GCAGACTAATTCAACAGTGCACCCCTCTCACTCTGCTTTGAATGCACTGGAGATTGACATCTAAAAAACCCTAACATCTCATTTTAACAAATAAAGGCACTATTTCCACATACAGTTTGGAATTATCAGCAATCATGAAACCAGACAAAAATTAATATACATTAAGCACTTCATCTTCTGATGGCTTCCTCTGAGTCTCAGTTATCGCAGCCTTCTCCTCATTTCCTCTCTTTGTATCTTCCTGTATTGATCTCTGCCTTTTCATCTCTTGAAAAAAAGAGAAAAGACATGTAAAATTATTATAAAGCTTGATATTTATGTATTGAAATGTGGACTTACATTATCGGGTTTTCATATATTTATTGTTAAATATTATTAAATCATAAGATGGGAAAACAGGTTTTATATTTTCTCCTACCTGGTCTGCTCTCCACGTATTGACTGAAAGACTGGAGCTGAGTTTTCCTGATGGTCGAGTCCTTGCTGAACACAACGGGATTTCTAAACCGTTCTGCTGCTTTTTGTGATCGCTCAGCACGATGTTCCTCTGTTCCATTCTGCTGGGAAAAAAACAGACACACAACAGTTTCTTTTGTTTACAAGCGGGAAGACATTAATGCGAAAGGTACGTTTTGGTGAGGGGACAGGACACAGCTTTTGCAAAGTGGATTTCACAACTTGGGCTGCGGTTTATATTGGATGAAAGTATCAGACGTGGGAAAAAAGGACAAGAGTGATTAACTTTTCCTTTTTTTTTGTCTAATGTGTGGTGGCAACGACTGGCTTTTCACTCAGTGGGCACCCTCCTGCAGAACTCTTTACTTCCTTACCAGCCAGACCTATTCACTGTGACCGTCATTTGCCAGCAATGCCGATTTTAAACGAAAAATCCTCCTTTGCGCCTTTGCTGTGCCAAGCACCGCGCACGCTGCTGCCAAGTCGCGGCGTCTCTGCCCCTGAACATGATCTGTATCGTTTTAAAGCGTGTTGCCTTTAGCCTCTCTCCCTGCCCGGTACAGAAATCTGTCGTCTTCTGTAGTCCCATAGACTTGTATGACAAGAAGAACTAGTTTCTAATTTTATGCCCATTGAGATAAACCACTAATGCTGGATGAAGTCTAAAAGGTAGGATTATAATGCTACCCCACTGAACTGCATTTCATCAGCTATAACTTTCCAAAGCCAGATTTGTAAGTAAGCCCTTTACAGCTAAGGAAACTACAATTATCTTTTCCAGGGCTTCCTATGTTAATACTGGTAACAAATTCAAATGATTCTATCAACACAAAATATCCCAGAAGACTGAACCACTGTGGTGTGTGGAAACTGCAGATACCGAGGTGCTGTGTACCAAACAAATATTTCATTTTATACCTAATCTTTTATTATTTTTATTAAGTGTTTTGAAAGTAAATAGGGAAAGGCTAAGATGCATGACTAATAGCTAAGCCTGCTGAATGCTGAAACTGGTTATCAAAAGCTACCAAGACTTTGCCCTTCCTCTGCATTGAGACAATCGGTAATGAGGGAGTTCTCCAACGGCCTATTCTCTCGCCTCAAGGAGGCCGGGGATACACAATCCCCAAGGGAAGGTAACAGTTTATCCTTTTCCACAAACACAGAATGCCTCATTTAGAAACCTGTAAACTGCATTTTATTAAAAAACAAATCCACCTCAATGAGAAGAGCTCCATGAGAACAGATGGACACCATACATTCCTTATAACGCTGCCTTCCAACTCTTCCTTAGAAAAGATGCACGCGGAGATAAACTGTTAGGTTGCACCTTTTGTGGGAGTACCTTAAAAAGAATCAACTCCTTCACTAAAGCTTTTTATCAAGAGAAATACCATTTTTGTCAGATTAGGTGATACCAAATTACCCTAAGAGGCAGCCTGTGTGTCATTTCACAGAATTAAGCTTAAAGAAGTATTGCTTATACCTCTGGAAGACTTTTCTGCTGCACTAATCAGGTGGCTATGATTCTGGTTAAATAAAAGGTGATTTCCTGTTATTAGCACAATAACTATCTGACAGCCTAAACCAGAGTCTTTACCAAAATAAACAAACATGACTAATTTTTTAGGCCTGGCAACATGCTAAAATATCAGTGTGATTAGCCAGTAAATCCCATTTTAAGAAACCTTTTTATGACTGGGGACTTCTGCCACTTTACAAATGTATTCCTCTAAGCCCACTAATTCAGTTAGCCTTTTCAATCCATTGTATTATTCTTGGGCCAGCTTCATTTTGCATTAAATCCACTGCAGAAAGCTAAATTGAACGCAAAAATCAGACTTGATCCAGGCTTCCTTTTGTTCAAAGATAGAGACCGAAAGTCCTCTGCTGCTGCCACACACTTTCATCACCAATTTATAGGAACCGACAGTGTAAGGGAAAAGCAATGAAAGTCATTGTTTTGGGACTTCAAAGCATCTCTGTATCTGGGGAAGGAAATCCTTTCAGTCAGCAGTGCTCTCCCCACAGACTGCAGGTGGGTGAAAAGTTATACCCAACTGGAAGTGCCCCAGAGCCATAGGGATATTAATGACATACAGGGACTATTTAAAAAAAAATAGAATAGTAAGAACACAAGGGGTCTAATTAAGAAAATGAAATGGAAAATTGATTGGTGGGCGCTTTATGCTGAAGTGGTGAACATTAAGAATAGGCAAAATGCCCACAAACACCACAGACTCGTGTCTGTTTTTCTCAGAAGCACTCATCGAGCATCCCAAGTATGTATGCCTTCAAAGTGTACCACGGCTTAATTTTAATGGAGGAAAAACAGAGGACCAGGATTAGGGGGGAAGCAAATCACTGAGAGTCCAATCCTGCTCCCACTAAAGTCAGGGAGAGTTTTGCTGCTGATTGCACCAGCAGCAGGATGGAGCCTGTGCTGCATTTCTGATATTAATGACAACTTGAGCATGCAGAATTGAGATATGCTTCTAATATTTGTTAGTGTGCTACCAATGACAAGTATCAAGATTTTTAAAAAAAAGGAAAAAAGGAAAATGTGTCGATTAGTCAACAGGAAAACCCCCAATGCACTGCAAAGCATGTAACTGCACTCTCCTACAGATTTTCTGTGTTTCTGACTCTGAAGGATTTGATAAGAAATTACTTTCCTCCTCACAAAGTACAAACCTGCAATCGTAACACACAGGTACTGAAACAAAAGCACTAAGCAAAACTTACCTTAATGTCTTGCTCTGAGCTATCTGTTACAGTTTTCTGAGCAGCACTGGAGAGCGAATTTGCCACCTGTGGCTGAGCTTCTAGGAGCTTCTTCAGCTTCAAATCCATGAACTTACTGTTTTGTTCTGCTAAATATGCAAATACCACATACAACAGAGTGAGATGCATTTCAATGCAGAGTTGCTACAACAATGCAGCAATTTAAAAGGTAGCTTTAATTCACTTCGCTATCGTTTCAAACTAAAAAGTAAGAACTAAATGGATTTTTTTATGATTTGGATTGGTGCAGGTTTGTGTAATGTACATGGATATTCCTAAGTTTTCTCAAAAAACATATGTAACATTCAGCTGAACAAGTAAACCTGCTTGCAGACAGAAGATGAAAACACAGAGCCATTTATTTTAAGATGACATCTAACAATTTACCACATAATTTATATATTGATAACCCCTCAAGTTCATGAACTACTGCTTCATCCTAAGGCTTTCTGGCAAATTTCAGTATCAAAAAAAGACAACTTTCTAGGAATAATTTACTATGATTTATAGAATATGTTAGAGCTGGGAGAGTTGTAAAACACTTTAAAACTGTATCAAAGGGACAGATTCAAAGTCTGCCAAAGCCCCAAAATTTTTTTCATCAGTTTTAGCAATTTGGCTCAGAGCCCAAATAAATAATAGTTGAGAATTTTACCTCCCAATAATGTTAATTCTGTATGTGAACTTTGACTATATGAATTTCTAACACACCTACACAGTTACCTACATACACACACACATAAGAAGGAGAAAGGTGTTAATAACAAGCTGCAGAACAGGACTGCTGAGTTAACCCTGGGTAAGGAAGCAGAATAATGCTGGTGCAAAGCCCCCAGTCATACATTCTACATGCAGCCCCACATGAGAAATCGCCCCTGAACTGGAGCGAGAGCAGCATCACCTGCCAATACGATGCACTCACACCCAGGCTTTGGGTCGAATGCAGAGAAAATAGCAGTTGCTATGTTTTCCTATGGAAACAACTTGAGTTCTTCACTGTGGGCAGTTCATATTAGCCAAAACATTTTTGGTATGCTGGCAATCTAATGCTGCCTGCCTCCGGCAACGACAGCCTGGGATGGACCATGATGAAGGATAGTTTCCCTTTCCTCTGGCACATCCAGTCAAGGTGTCCTTAATTGAGGCTCACATGTAAGTACATGCTCGTTCTCATGGGTTTATACATAAACACCATGTAATAACTATGATATAAGAGGTTCACATTTTGTCAGACACATTCAGAGCAGCGTAGGGTAGAAGTATTGACAAATACAGACAGATGCAACATTTTAAGCCAACAAGCAGTAAAAATAAAGTTTTTTCTTCCTCAGAGAGATGTGAAGGACTAAGAACCAGCAGGGGACAAACTAATTAAGATGGCACATAATGATCCCAAATGTGAAATATCCCTTGCAGTTTTGCTTTTAGGTGTTCCCAGGAGATTCAGCGTTCATTAGAACTTGGTATGAATTGGCAGAATTACACCAAAATCTGTGTACACTGATCTCTATCACAGCATTAGACTGCTTTCTATATTACTGCCCATCCTCTTTCTTACTTGTCTATACCTTCGGCTCCTGTGAGGCTGAACTGCAAAATGATGTCCCAGTTCTTTTTCAGAATATCTTCCCATGGCGGACATGAAGCATTGGGTAGTGGGTTTGTATGCCTGAGAAGGTACCTCTCAGGAAAAAATACCCACAGAGATAAATGTTGGTAAGTCACTGGGGCAATGTGACAAGAATATTCATTCACTGATTTTCTATTTCTTCTAAAATTAACCAGTTTTATTGGAAAATTATTTGACAGGATTCTGCTCTAAATACACTAAACTTAAATGCTGGAAACACTAAATAAATGTTGTTATGTGTCTGGAAATCCTCAAGCAGAAAAAAAATTAAAGGACATGACTCAGACCTTTTGCATGCTAAAAAGACTAGAAAGAAAGTGCTGTATATATATCACTGTTGGTTTAATTTACAGAGTGCAAACACTAAATGAAGTTCTGATTTAATATATTATGGACTACACACTTGGGTGCAGCTGGCATGGGCAGCATCAAGTCAGAGAATGTTGAAGACGTTCTCTTTTGTACTGCCTGTTTCCCAACACAGTCTTGTGCTGGCCAACCTTCTCTGGCCTCGAGCTAACTTGCATGAAACAGAAAGGCCCTGGCAGAGAAGCCTAGCACAAACAGAGACCCTGGGCACTCCTCAGCTTGCTAGGAACAGGCAGACTTGTACAGGGAACAAACTCCTTCAGCAGCTCTTTGCAAGGAGAGGAGCCCCTTACAGATGGGCAATTCCTTTTGTGTCTTTGAAGACCTAGCTCCTTTAAAAATAAGCATCTCCCATGCAATATTCCAACATATTTACCATCATATTTATCACCTGAACTCCAGTTTTGCTTGCATGTTTTTGGAAGGAGGAAATATCACTCCCGTGACTTAAAGCATTAATAGAAACCCTATTATTTGAACATCATAAAGTAAATAGGACTAAGTCTGTTCAAATTTATATCTTCATGCCCTCATTGGAGCAATAAAGTGTAAATACAAGACCTGGTCCTGGGGAAGGAGCCGGAGAGATACCATGTCTACATTAACACAGAGAGACAAATTTGCTTCACTTGCCTGAGCAGATGTAGCAGGATGGCAGTACAGAGTGGCAGCTTGCAGTACAGAGTGGCAGCTGTATTCCCCCCTGCCATTGTTCACTCCTCTGCCTACCTGGCACAGTCCAGGCAGGATGCTTTCAGGTGGCTCTGTTTTACCAATCTGGCCTGGGGTTCCCTTCCCCATCAAACAAGCAAGAGACATTTAAATCTCCCTTTGTTGGAAATAATTGTTTTGCTGTTTATTGTAAATTTCAGCTAAAAATGAATGCAGAATATTAAGTATGAGGGTTTAAAAGACCTGAAAAGGCACAAAGGAATAAAGCTGACAGAAAGCAAAGCAGCACATCAGTACTTATATAATGATGTAATGTTAGTCATGCAAAATACACAAAATAGCCATTATTTAAATTACCCATTGAATCAAGGTCATTTTCTAGGTTAGTAAGCTCATCTCCACCTCCAGTAACAGAGCATTCAGGAACCTCCTCATTAGTATCTATCTCAATATTATCATCATCCTCATCCTCATCTGTAGGAACATACAGCATTAAGGTTAGTATTTTCATATGTACATGCAATACATCACAAAAAAAAAAGAAATGCTTTAGAGAACAAGCTGAGTTATGATAAAAATGCAAATCATTAAATAAGTCTGGAAGGAGATTTCATTCTGTCCACTCATGGATTTATCTTTAAACTGATGCAATTCAATAAACACATGGGGGTCTCTGCTGGAAATTCCTGCTACAATAAAGGGAGATTCTGGCCTCAGCAGTGCCTGTTCTCTGTGCTGAATCTCAGGGTAACTTTGAAAACCACATATACTTTTCCTTATAACTTGAATCAAAATAATTTCCACTACACTTTCAGTTCTCCATAATGCAGAACGGGTACCAAAGCTGGTATGAGCCAGGTTCAGATGGCTCTGGCTAGTAGAAGGACCTGGGAGCTGTGGTACCATGAGAAAGGCAGCAGCTCCAGGTACTCAGTCCCCAGCTCAGTGAAACTTGCTGCTTCCCACACTGCACAGTATATCGCAGAGCAGTGATCACTGTACCTTGCCTAGGTGTTAAAGTCTCCTACCACTTCTGATACAAGGAGGAAAAACACAACTCAGAACATCACACTTAGTGAGCACTGATGCCACAGGTAGCAAGAGCACACTCATAGATTGCTGCTTTCACAGAATCACAAAATGGGTAAGGTTGGAAGAGACCACAGTAGGTCATCTGGTCCAGCCTTCCTGTTCAAGCAGGGTCATCCTAGAGCACATGGCACAGGATTGAGTCTAGATGGTTCTTGAATATCTCCAGTGAGGGAGAATCCATGACCTCTCTGGGCAATCTGTTCTGCTCAGCAAAGAAGTTCTTCCTTATATTCAGGTGGAACTTCCCATGCATCAGTTTTTGCCTGTTGCTTCTTGTCCTATTGCTTGGCACCACTGAGAAGAGCCTGACTCCATCCTCTTGACACCCTCCCTTCAGATACTCATACACATCGATGAGGTCCCCTCTCAGTCATCTCTTCTTGAGGCTGAACAGGCCCAGTTCCCTCAGCCTATCCTCGTAAGAAAGATGCTCTAGTTCCTTAACCATCTTTGTTGTCCTTTGTTGCACCTGCTCCAGGAGCTCCATGTCCCTCTTGTACTGAGGAGCCCAGAACTGGACAGCGATGTGGCCTTACTAGGGCTGAGTAGAGGGGCAGATCACCTCCCTTGACCTGCTGGCAATGCATCCTGGGATACCATTGGCCTTCTTGGCCACAAGGGCACACTGCTGGCTCATGGACAGCTTGTGGTCCACCAGGACCCCCAGATCCTTCTACACAGAGCTGCCATTTAGCAGGTCAGTCCCCAGCCTGTACTGGTGCATGGAGTTATTCCTCCCCAGGTGTAGGACCCCACATTTGTCTTTGATGAATTTCAGACAGTTCTTCTCTGCCTATCCCTCCAACCTGTCAGGATCCTTCCAAAGGGCAGCACAGCACAGTATTGGTCACTCATCCCAGCTTTGTGTCATCAGTGAACTTGCTGAGGAGGCACTCTACCCCTTCATCCAAGTCATTGATGAATAAGTTAAAAGTGCTTTACTGCAATACATTTAATCAGCATTGTTTGTAAGCTACATACATTTTAAATAAAATAATAATTGTAATTATACTCTATATTTTTTATGGGATCTTTCTACCAAGTTTCTCAGAGCGGCTTATGAATATCATTCATAAATGGGCCTCATAATGTTTTATGAAGTAGGTGATTATTATAATTACAATTATGATGATGATGTAGGTAAACTATGGCACAGAAAGAGTAAGTAACCTGAGGAAGATCAAATAGCAAGTTCTGAATTGTGAAGCAGATCCCAGAAAAAATCCTGACTCACATTTTCAATACAAATATATAATGAAATTAAAGTCCATAAAAGCTAGATTAGTACTTTCAAAGTATGCAGTTGCATTGTATTTACTCACTTTTAAATCTCGTATCAAATGCTACCTACACTTGTTCAGACTTATACAAACATATTTTTCCTACGTATGCATGCGTGTGTGTAAAAATAAAAAAAAAAGAGTAGGCTGGAGTGTGTCTGAAGAAACAAGACATATAGTAACTAAAGGAATTTTAAAACCCCTAAACCAGGAAAAAAACCCTAATTATAAATACATGGGTATACTCAAATGTCATATAAACATAAAGGATCCTAAACTTGCTATCAAGATGCCACAATCCTGAATATCAGAAGCTTGGATCAGGATTGGTGCTGATCACTCATCATCTGTCTTGGAAACACACTAAACCTCATTCCCAGACTTGAAGTTTGCACTTTTGGACAACACTGCTGACATAAAGGTCATACAATTGTATCTTTTCTTTAACTCTTTATCTCCACGGCTCCCATAATTCCCATTTTAGGAGCCTGTTGACTTTTTTATGTCTACTACTCTTTTCTAACTAGCTACTCCCTCACTTCCTGTGTAATTAATAAACATCTTCCACAGACCTCTGCTGATACAGGGTATGGCTCTTGCTGCAACAGACAGGAGCAAAGAAGTTTCTGCTTCAGTGTCCTACTCCACATGTGTTGCGTGTGTGATGGAGCAGCAGCCTGTGAAGCAGGACCCCTGTGTTTCAGCTGACCATCACAACATTCTTGGGCTCCTCTACATTAGTTCTCCTTGGTCCCTGGAAGACTCAGCTTTCTTCCAAACTGCCCCAGATTGAGTCAGACGGATGGAGAAGAACATCTCTTTCCAGCCAATCCAGGATCTGCAACCAGACCTGGGACCTGACAGATGGCATTTCAGGTGTACAAGTTGGTAGGCAGAAACACTCGTGACTCTCTAGGACATCCTTTCTGTTCCCACTTAAATTCACACAGGTGATCCTGTGATCTGGACTCCAGTTGTTTCACGTAGTGCAGAGATAGGTGAACAAACTAGAAGGGCACAGTGTGATCATCATGGATAGGGTAAAAAGCAGACTGATGAGAAAACAGACAATGATAAAGCAGCAACAGTTCTGATGGTTTTGAATTTCCTTCAAGGCATCTCTACTGTTTCTGATGAGGAGCTAGACTTGACACACAATTTTAAATCCTTCACGATGGTGTCGGAGAAATTCAGTGGCACATGGGCCATGGTTATCTCAGACACATCCTGGAGCTCACAGGGGCACACTGAAAGCATGACCAGGCTAGAAGAGGTGGAAGAGAAAGAAAGAGGGACACTGTTGTGGCACAGGGAAACCAAATCCACCTCGAGCCTAGAGGCAGGCAATTACTTTTGGAAGCACCCAAAGGAGTCAGCTCCCAAGGTTGGCTCACAACTACCAGCCATCCCACAGGATGCTGGATGTTTCAAAACAACCTAAACAAGATGACAGGGTTTAAGACTGCTACATACTAAAGGAATGCTTACATTTGATTATTTGATTTTCTTCCATTTAATCGAGCAAGATGAGCTCAGAGGCACTGCCTTTGACATCACCATTTTAGGAAACAAAAGAGATGGGAATGTCGAAGACACCAGTTTGGTTTTTTTTAATAATCTAGATTCCTTGATTTAAACTACTCTGGGTTGTTGGTTCAATGTTCTTCCAGTGCATTAAAAGGGAAATGTGTTTAGGGAGCATGTTACAACAAGATTTTGCAATTATAAATGATAAAAGGAACAACATGACGAAGAGATAACAGATATCTTTTAGAGAAAGAACAAATTATTAGTGTGAAAAACTTAAAAGTACATGGTCTGGAACCAGGGCACATATTTAGAAGAGGACTGAAGAACTGCTTCCTTGAAAAGCGTGTAAATGTGAATCCTAGAAAGACAGCAAAGCTTTACTATGTCATGAAGAAATGATGAAAATAAAAGATAAAGGATTAAGTCAACAACTAAACAGCACTGACCACTACCTGCACAGCATGAACTGCAATCTGGACTGGAGACAGAGAAATAAATACCTTTTGGAACCAAATATAAATGCCAGAATGTTGGTAGAAAAAGATCCAGAGGCATTTTAGAGCTCATATGTCTTACTATTCAGATTAAGGTCAGACTTAATTTGTGGTTAAACTGATATTCTCTTGACTTGGTTTAAGCTTGTCCACATGTGAAGTAGTTGCAGTAGAGTGCATCAATTTCTATATTAAATTAAAAAGGAATAATTTTCATAGAGAAGCAAAAGCATTAATGGGGGCTGGATCACATTACTGAGAGAATCATATGTAGCTGCCACTGGAGTTGCACAGGCAGTCCTAGCTCTTTAGGGAAGATGCCCTCCAGCCTTCAGGATTGTCTCTGGGAAATCCTTCAGGCTTGTGGATATTGAGATATTTAGTTTACTTACTTTCAGGTACAGAGTTCGCTTTAAGGTGGGGAATGGAAGAAATGCAGAGTTGAAATACTGGTTCTGTGTACAAGAAATCAGATGTCAGGACAAGAAATTACAGCAGTAACTGCCAACGGACAGAAATACTGCCTGTTAAAAATGTTAAATTGAGGACTTAACACTGTTTCGTGAGTAGCAGACTAAGCACGATGAGTAAGCCTGTGCCTCCATGTACATTCCCTAAAAATCGTTGCCTCAGAAGTGAAATCTTGAACATACCCTGTCCTTTCCTTTGTCCCCTCCCTTCACTGCCTGCTCACCACCCCCAGATCCAAGACACATCCTCACAGAGATGTCGTCTCAAATAAAGGACGGAGATGTGCCAGAGAGTAAGAAAACACAACTCCCTAAAGCCCAAAGAGTAGACGGGTGTTCCACTGCACAGGGACAATGCTTAGATAATATGTCAATTCCTTTGTCCTGTTGCTGCTAGGGAAAGGAGGGATATTTGGATTTCTATCTTGACACTGTCCCTGGCTCCATCTCAAGGCATCCGCTTATTGGCCTGAAGCTAGTAGGACATCTAATAAATTTAAAGCTGCCATCCCAAACCCTCTGGCAGTTGGCAGGAAAAAGTATTCTCTGTCTCACATGCCAAATAACCTATGAAAAAGACTGGATTTTGTAGCTAGGGATGCTGCTGCTTATCCAGGAAAGTTTCAACTTGCCATAGGCATTTGAGTTTTTCAGACCATGATTAAATAAAGCCTTTTAACAGAGAATATAGCACCAGGGCCAAAGCATGAAAGTCTTAATGAGCATACAGAAATACTGAAGGAGATCACATTTTAACCTACAATTGTAAGGAAGAATTTAGTCTCTAAAAAACACCAGAATCCCAAAGCTGAAATACCACCTTTTTTTTTTGAATAACTGAATTGAGAGAGAAGAAAATTTTTTGGTACATTCCCTTTTTGTAAATTAAAGAGTAATCACAATCAATGCAGAAGAAGAGATTATTGAAGCATAATGGACGAGAGAGCTTGGAAGACATAAGATATCACAACAAGCTTGTCTTGAGTATTGTATAGGGAATATAGGACTATACACAGAAGAAAAACCTGCTACATGTGCATGCAGTTAGGGGCAACATTCAGAATCCAGTTGTAATAAGGAGACTGTCTAGTAAATCCAAACTTTAGGTGGAATTTGAAAAATGAAAAAGACTAAACGCAGAAGTAATTCTAATTCTTTTAGTTTATTAAGTGTTGGTGTCATTTCATAGAACTACTACGTTTTAGAAGAAATAATTCCTTGAGTGGAGATCTAGTGTGGCACCTGACATTACCAGTGGTGTGGCAGAAGTATGTGGAAGATGTGCCATAAGGAAAACTTTTAGAAAAGGAGTAAGTTGAAGGAAATGCCATAAAATGCACATTGGCATGAAAAGAGCAAAGAGGAATAAACCAAACCAAACCAAAACTTTAAGTCCAAAAGAAGTTCAAATAGATTGGCCGAACTACAGTATGAACAAAGAGAAAACAATGTAGGAAGTATAAATCAAGGACATAACTCAAAGCATATGCATAAGTAAAAAGCTGTGAAATTGTTATAAAACCCAATAGTTATAGCGGTGATAACTTTATAAACAAGTTGTCATCAGTACTGATACTGTCTCCTCCTTTAATAACACTATACTCTCTGGGTGCATATGCAATCTCCCTCTATAAAGACATATTTCTTTTAATATGTATGCACAGCTACCTCTGATACTGTTTACAAATTGAATGAAGGGCAGGAATAGCAATGGCAAAATACAGAGGAAAATATGAACAGGAAGGCCACATCCTAAAAAGAGGCACACTGGAATATTTAGCAATGCTACAAGTGAGTCACTGTGACAAAACAGGGTCACTACTATCCAGCTGAGCACTCAGGCACCCCCAGACAGTGTACCTTACTTTGAGGGAAGATATGGCAGGAAGAGGTATGTACAGGCATGATGAAAGAGGGAGAAAGAAGTGATTAAATAATGTAGGATGGGGAGTCATAAACTGTGAAGAGAGATGAGGAACATCATAGTCTATGTAATATCCAAGTACTGTGTCATTTGGCTCAGACTGTCTTACTGCCTCCCCATCAAGGATGAAATTTCCCTGTTTATCACAAAGGCTTGGTTTACTAGGCAAAGAGAGTAAACCTGAAGACCAGACCCAAAGGGAGATGTACAACTTAGTGCTTTCTCTTTGGTGACAAATGGAACAGAAGTGTAGGTTTTAGGGTGCAATAAGACCATATTTAAATATTTATGTGCATAAAATGCATGTAGTAGACACAAAATAAATATTTTTGTTGAATCTACATGCATTGTGAGCATAAAGGTGAATGTTCCTTACACTTTGGCTTATGATTATGCGTTAGTATGAGAAACACTATTTCCCCTTAGAATATGTAGAAGACATTCCAAGAGCAAGAAGCCTGCACTGAAATGTGTGCTCAGCACCCATTTGAGTTTGAGTGACACTACATTACTCCAGCTTGTAGCACTGGCAGGTATATGAATTTTAATGACATTTCAAAGTCAGTTTAATAACATTATAGCAATATTACAACTCAAAACCTGTAAAAGCAAGTGGTATGTCAAAAGACTGCCATTTAAAATCGAAAGGTTTTTGCCCCCACCTCTCACAGGCCACCTTTAAAATTCTCTTCCCAAGCAGTCTGGAACACATTTAATATAAATAACATTTCTTAAATTAGTTTTAATCTTGTTTTCCTTCAAAATTATGTTCATATACAAATATATATTGAAAACCAACAATCTCAAAATTCCAAAATACTGTGGGCAATGACAAATCTGTAAATAATGGGTCAATATGAGCTACTCGTTCACAGAACACCTTTTTCTTTCTACCACATACAAGCTTTTCTTTTAATTGTTAGAAATTAAGAGACACAACACTGATTGAGGAAACACATCTACAGTCGGGTCTTTTGATATGTTCACCTGATGAACAACAATGTTTTGAAGTGTGAATAAAAGTGACACTCAAAAAGGACTCCGGTTTCTAGGTTGCCATAGGAATAAGATACAAGGTTCCTCAGCTCACCTCCAGATGCCTTTGACCTTTCTTTCAACTTTTCTGCAGCCATTTCACTGTAGCTAGGAAGTTCTGACATCTTCACTCCAGATCGAGCTTCTGCTATTAGCTGACGAGCTCTCTCTCTCAGCTGCCGACGTCGCTCTTCATCTTGCTGCTAAGATATATTGAACAGTTGCCAACTCAGTAATTGACAGAAATGCAATTTCATTCTCAATCTGATCATCATGATAGGAACTGGTTTACAGCATGGTGCTTGGCCCACATTATAAATAGGACGCTCGATATCAGTTGGGTGTCACACCACAATTTTTAAACACATCCATGCGTCAGATTATTTTTTTAAAGCATTCTCCAAATTATTACTGCATTAGAAACCTAATGATTTGCAATGTAAAGCTTTTATAAATTATGTTCTATAAAAACACCCTGAAGAAAATTTGCAGACACTTTAGTCTCAAAGTAATCACATCGAATGAGTGATTTGAGTGAAATTTTACCATGCCTGTAAATATGGTTTCACTAAATTGAATTACTCATTTGAGTAGTATTCTCTCAGAGAACTGAAATGAGAAGCCAGATGTTGCTCTTGGTTACTCCAAGCACCAAGCTGACTTCAAAGTGTAAAGTGGCATCAAATCTGAGGCATGTTCTTCGTCTTCAATGGATACTTCTTTTCTTTAAGAAAAAAACCCTAATGAAAACTGCTGAAAGAACAATAGATGCTCTCAGAGCAGAAAAGACTTTGCATCGCTTTAAAACTACTAGTGGGGCTTTGGTCAGTAATTAAAGAGATGATATTGGAACCATGCCAGATAGTGCTGTTCCACTAAAGTTTGTATATTAGAAGCATGATAACATTTTAGATATATAAATAAGCAAAGTTTTACAGCATGAAATTTTATAAAAGTCTAGCCCACCATACTGAAAAAAATCTTAATAAAAAGATTGTTTAAACATATCAATAAGACTTCATTAAGCCATAATGGAAACATTTCTGCTTTCACCTTAAATATTAGTGCTGTTCCACTAAAGTTTGTATATTAGAAGCATGATAACATTTTAGATATATAAATAAGCAAAGTTTTACAGCATGAAATTTTATAAAAGTCTAGCCCACCATACTGAAAAAAATCTTAATAAAAAGATTGTTTAAACATATCAATAAGACTTCATTAAGCCATAATGGAAACATTTCTGCTTTCACCTTAAATATTT